CTGCTGAATATGAACACCTCCATGTGCCATGAGAGTGAAAGTGGGTGCAAAGAGTGCTTGTTATGGGGAAAGATGTCCTCCACCCCCTGGGTACCACAGGCCCTCGTCCCTGAGCATCAAACCCCTCCTGCTGGCCCACTGGAGCCCGGTCCTAGCAGGACATCACCAGGGGTCTTGGAGCCTCCTTCCCCTGATCTGTTCCTGGGGCTCTCCATAGAGGCAAAAGAGTTGCTAGCACTGCCCAGAGACATGAGCAGTTACTAACACTCTTTGGAGAGGAGGACTTTGACAGCAATGATTCAGAGGGTGGGGGGAAGCCCACAGTTTGGAAACATTTCCACACCCTCCCCAGTGACCCCTGTGTGACAGAGTGCCAGGTGTGCCACCCCATGTCCTGAGGAGTGCAAACCTTAAAATCTGCCTCCATTCCTGAGGACTGGAAGGTAGCTAATGTAATGTCACTCCCATCTTTAAAAAGGGTTCCAGAGGAGATCCGGGAAATTACAGGCCAGTCAGTCTGACGTCGATACAGAATAAATTGATGGAAACCATTATTAAGGAAAGAATTAGTAGGCACATAGATGAACAAAACCTACTGAGGCAGACTCAGCATGGGTTCTGAAAGGGAAGATCTTATTTTCTCAGTGGAGGGTGGTAAGCAGTGGGGTACCGCAGGGATCAGTACTTGGTCCACTGCTTTTTAACTTGTTCATTAATGATTTGGAGATGGGAGTAAGCAGTGAAGTGGCTAAATTTGCGGATGATACGAAGTTGTTCAGGGTGGTGAAAACCAGTGAGGATTGTGAGGCACTCCAAAGGGATCTGTCAATTTTGGGCGAGTGGGCGTCAACATGGCAAATGGGGTTCAATGTGGCCAAGTGCAAGGTGATGCACATTGGAGCCAAAAATCCTAACTATAAATACACGTTGATGGGGTCTGAACTGGCAGAGACTGATCAAGAGAGAGATCTTGGAGTTGTAGTAGATAACTCACTGAAAATGTCGAGACAGTGTGTGACTGCAATAAAGAAGGCCAATGCTATGCTGGGGATTATTAGGAAGGGTATTGAAAACAGATCAGCCAATATATCATAATGCCCCTATATAAATCAATGGTGCAACCTCATTTGGAATACTGTGTGCAATTCTGGTCACCACACCTTAAAAAGGATATTATAGCTTTGGAAAAAGTGCAGAAAAGGGCAACTCGAATGATAAAGGTTAAGGCACTTAGGGCTCTTTAGCTTGGAGAAACGGCGACTGAGGGGTGACATGATTGAGGTTTATAAGATTATGCATGGGAAAGAGCAGGTAGAGAAAGAGGTACTTTTCTCCCTTTCTCACAATACAAGAACTCGTGGGCACTCCACGAAATTGCTGAGCGGTCGGGTTAGAACGGATAAGAGGATACTTCTTCACCCAAAGAGTGATTAACACTTGGAATTCACTGGAAGTGGTGGTGGCTACAAGCATGGACGGCTTCAAAAGGGAATTAGATAAGCATATGGAGCAGAGGTCCATCAGTGGCTATTAGCCACAAGGTATAGATAGGGACTCTGGGGCAAATGATGCTCTGTCATCTTGGTGCTTGGGGGGGGGTCAACAGTGGGAGGGCTTCTAATGTCCTGGCCCCACTGGTGGACCTCCTGATGGCACTGGTATTTCTGGCCACTGTGTGATACAGAATGTTGGCCTGATCCAACATTGGCATCTCTTATGTTCTTATGTTTAGTGTCACTTAAGTTGTCAGATACTACTTAATCATTTTTAACCTAAATTAGTTGTCTTTTGAAACAGGAAATTGTCTGTCTAACCCCCCACTCCCCGACAAGAATTTAGGGCACCACAAATTGTTCTTCCTTCTGCTTTATCCATGTTAACAACCCTGTGAACTAAATTGGACTGAAAGATGATGACTGGCCCAAGCTGGCCTTCATGGTTTCTCAGGGATTTGAAACTGTGTTTCAACAGCCCTAGCCTGATACTCTAACTGCTACACCCTCTTGCTCTCTTGGGTAGGATGTAGTAACAGACCATAACAGCTGCTGATTAGATACATGTAGAACTACAGAGCTAGCAATGTACTGTCAACTAAAACATATTTAGGACTGCTTTGGACATGAGAAAATTCCTCCATGGAAAGCGCTTGGTGTGTGATAATCTTTATGAGGTTTCCTAAACAGACACACTTTCCATATAGAAATTCTGTTGTGTTTGAAGCAGCCCTCAGATTTTAAAGGGGATGGGGGGGGGGATACTAGACAGCAAATTGCATGTTACATTATTTCCGTTATAAGCAAATGTTTGTTATCCCGCAGCGTATGCCTCTTGTAGAGGTGATTGATGACTCTTGCCATTAGTGAGAAGAGCCAAGGGCCTTTATTTTCTGTTCAGGGAGCTTCCATCATGCAGATATAGCCCCTGATAAGTGAGAACATAATGCTCAGAAAGAGGAATTAACATGTGTTTTTCTTAACAGTTTGTAAGGATTTCCCCCCATATTTTGCTGATTTATTTCAGAGGCAAGATGTATTCCATTTTTTAAAAAAACTATTTAAGAATGGAAACTACAGTTTTACGCACACAAAAAGTGCCCTTTGAAAAGTGGCTCTAAAGTATCCTGTTTTATATTTATTTTCCTGAACTTCTAGAAACGTAGTCGATTTTTTAAACTTATGTTTTCTAGTAAATGAACTGGATTCATTGCTGAGCTCCCAGAACACATTCATATCAAAATTAAAAGAAGAATGTTGTACACTGGCAAAGAACCTTGAGTATATCACAGAAAAAAACAGGTATGTAAAGTTTTTAACTTGCAGTTCGCTTCATACGGCTGTCCTCAGTTGTCTATCTGTTCTGATGAGTGCTATCAGCACAGGCACAAAAGTGGCATATAAACACTGATCATCTCATTTTTAATTGTGAAAGGAATAAAAATGTGAGTGCAAGGGAATTGAGATGTAATATAAATGGATGTTATGAGTACAGGATATTTACTTTATGAGCCCATTATTTCCTAATGTTACAGCATCCTTATCCACCACTCTTGTTTAAATACACTTATGACATGACCAGTTAGCATACCAGTGGCATATCCACCTGGCCTGCTGATTTCAGTTGAGCCTTCCTTCTGTGTATTAATAAGTAGACATGCTAGCTGCAGTCCTTGCATCACAGTGTTTAAATCCCATTAGTACAATTTGTACTCCTCCATTATATAGAACTCGTGACTCTGAGACTTCAGTGTCATTATGATCTGTTCAGATTTTTAAAATTCCATATAATTGTAATACTCTTACAGGGATATTAATGCATTTAGCATTTTTATTGTTACAGCTTTGTCAGGCAATAGTGTATTTGTTTTTAAATAGATTTTAAATAGGGAGCAAGAAGTTCAAGTAGTGTGGCTGGGTTCCTTTAAGTGTCAAATATGAATTCATATCATAGATGTGTTTGGGCATCTCTTGTTACTTAGCTTCACGGTCTTGGACAGAGGTGTCAAACTCATTTGTTATGAGGGTCATATCTGACATAAATGACACTTCGTTGTGTGCCATAAAGTGTAACGCAAGATATTGGAGATATAAACTTTATAAAGATGATTTCAGATGCTGAATGGCAATAGCAGGCATGATTGGAGTAGGTGTGATATGCAGATGGGTGGAGATATCAGCATTGGTAATGAGTCAGGAAACTTAGGTCTCAATTTGGAACAGGAGAATTCAGTTCAGGTGGATGCAAAGGATAAATGGAAATAAGTCTGAAGAAGTGAGCAGTGACTCACAAAAGCACATACCCTACCACAATTTTGTTAGTCTTTAAAGGTGCTACTGGACTCTTTCTACTACTATTAGAAACCACAACATTCAAAAACCAGTGGGAGAACATTTTAACCTTTCAGGGCATTCAGTTGCTGACCTAAGAGTAGCAGTTCTCTTACAAAGGAATTTCAAAGGGAGACTAGAAAGAGAGACTGCTGAATTGCAACTAATCATGAAGCTCAAGACAATGCATCCTACTGGGCTGAATTGAGACTTAGGTTTCTTCTCTCATTACCAATGCCTGCTATTGTCATTTGGTGTCTGAAATCACTTCACTCTCCAAGATATAAGGCCAGATGGACTCACATTCCTGC